GGCTTGCAATCTCCATTATAGTTCATCCCAAAGGTGTTTGAAGGGGCTGAGGTCAGGGCTCTGTACAGGCCAGTCAAGTGCTTCCACACCAAACTCACCCAACCATGTCTTTATGGACCTTGCTTTGTGCACTGAGGCACAGTCTTGCTGGAACACAGAAGAGCCTTCCCCAAGCTGTTCCCACAAAGTTGGAAGCATAGAATTATCCAAAATGTCTTGGTAAGCTGAAGCATTAAGAGTTCCCTTCACTGGAACCAAAAGGCACAGCCCAACCCCCAAAAAACAACCCCATACCATTATCCCTCCTCCACCAAACTTTACAGTTGGCACAATGCAGTCAAGTAGGTAACGTTCTCCTGGCATCTACCAAACCCAGACTCGTCCATCAGACTGGCAGACAGAGAAGCATGATTTGTCACTCCACAAAGCATGTTTCCACTGCTCTAGTGGTGACATGCTTTACACCACTCCATCCAACGCTTGGTATTGTGCTTGGGGATGTGAGGCTTGCATGCAGCTGCTCGGCCAAGGAAGCCCATTCCATGAAGATCCCAGTGCACAGTTTTTGTGCTGGAGTTAATGCCAGAGGGAGAATGGAACTCTGTAGTTGTTGAGTGAACAGAGCGTTGGTGACTTTTATGCACTGTTACTTTATGTGGTCTGCCACTTTGTGGCTGAGTTTCTGTTGTTCCTTAACACTTCCAGTTTGCAATAATACCTATGGAGTCACAGGAGTGCCATAAAAAGAATAAATCTGTAAAAGAACAAGGAAGTAAATGTTGAATAAGAAAGTGAAATACATACAAATAAAGATAAAATAATACACAAAATAAATTCAACTAAAAAATAAGAAAATTAATGCTTTTCTTTATTGCTTTTAATTTTCCGGGATTGCTTTTGCAGTATTGTTTTTAATATTACCATATTGCTTTTAATATTATCTGACTGCATTTAATATTATCGTATTGCTGTTAATTTTGCTATTGCTTTGTAGCAGGGGTCAGAATTTCCCAGCATGCTCGCGGAGAATTGTAAATAGCCCTGTCAGTAATTGTAAATAGCCCTTGTTGTGCTGTTGATGTTTATGGTTGCATTTCTTATGGTCGCGCATGTGTTTGTCCGTGTTTTATGTGTGCCCTGTCCGATCCTCGCGTGTTCTTAGCTTGTGTAAATCTCTACCGTGTGTGTACCTTACAGTTCGGCGTCTGACCAGCTTTTGTTTCAGCTATGTGTGTCTCGGTTTTGTGCTTGTTGGATGCCTGTTTCGGTCCTGTTCTCAACTATAATAAAAAGCGTGTTCTGCACTGGCAAGCGAACTGACCTTGTTCTTCACCGCTCTCGTTATGCCTCGGTCCGCCACAGTTTTTAATAAAGGGACCAGCTCTCAATTAACTGGCTTTATGCACGACTTCCTGTCCAGGCTGAGTATTCAATTCCAGCACATATGAATCTTGCTTTCGACTTGTTTTCCAATTTACAAATGCTCAAATCATAAATGGAAAAGATCGAGCCATTTTCTTAATTCCATCCCACTATATGTTGAAACGTGGGCACGTTTTACTAAAGGCACTTTAACACTGGAAAAACTTGCTCTGGAACCAGGGACGTATGTCAATGTCACACCGCAGGAACTCGACTCGATTGTAGTTCCTTGGATGCCGTTTCGAACCCTTTTAAGTACGTACTCCACACTAGGTAGTTTTCCTTCTAATACGAACTGGGGATGCGCGAGGATAAACTTGCTGACTGGTTGATGACAAGCACCGGTGTTAACTTGGAAGTTACGCGGAAGTGCAGGAAAAGAGACAGAAGGTAAAAACTGAGCAGATGCAGTTATTTTTGTACCTAAATTACATTTCTAATGCATCAATTAATTTCTGCAACGGAAAATGTGATCTATAACCAATATACTTTAGTCATTGTTTTTAATTCTGTGGAAAACGAAAGATGCATCTGCTGGCCAGATCTAATAAGAATCATAAACATGTGACGGGTCCTACAAGTACAGTATAAATAAAAGCCTGTGTCTCATTTTGCTATCGATCCCCCAATAACTAACAAACAACTAGCTAGCAAAACGACTTACAGTGGAAACCGCTTATACGTTGTGATCCTGTCCGTCTGGGTGAAATAGATCACTATATGTGGATGATCACAATATCCAATTTTTTCGCTTTATGTCTCAAGGCAGATTGCCATCTAATTAACCTTTGTATATTTTACGAATGAAATTGATAGAAAATGAATGAACGAATAATACACGGATTCTACCAAAGCAGGATCCTACTGAGCACATGAATTGACCGAGCAACCATTCAGTTACAGAGAGCACAAGAAATTTACAAAGGAGAGGAGGCCATTCGGCTCATCAGGCAGAGTCCTACACTGCCCCCCAAAAAGGGTAAAATCAATCAAACAGCAAATGTTCTGACATTGCATGGCAAGGAGCCACATTTGAGATATTAGGGTACCCAGGATTTCACACCTGCAAAACAGGTACTCTACCACAGAGATACATGGCCCATTGTTAGCTGACCAACAAGTTTCAGTTTTGCTTATCTGATGCAGGTTTCCTTATCCTATATTATATCTATGACCCATATTAGCCTCATACTATGTACCATCTGCTTCCATTCTCACAATGGGCCAGTATTAAATATCTGGCTATGCACTGGCATTTTCGTTTCAGTATTTTACAACTTTCCAATTATACTGTGTTCATTTCTTTCTAAGTATTTAATTGACGATGCCTTTTTTTCTGAAGCACTCATGCGTTCATATGATGCAGAAGTTTTAACAGTTGAACCCTATTGTACTTCGTGAATATCTGTTAAGTACTGTAATTTATCATCAGGAAATTCAATGCATTATTCTGATGGGTAACAAAAATCAGAGTGTTGGTTCTGAATCTAAATGGTGAAACAAGTTATGTGAACTGAGGTACAGAACATGGTGATATTAGAGCAAGTCGCATGTTCTATTCTGAGGACCAATGACTGGGTCAGTGAGGCCTATAGGCTTTTCAAACAAACCAGAACCAGATGGCAGATTGAGTGCTGCCATTGGCTGACCCATTCAAAATTGTCAGGTGACTTAACAGTTCCCATTACTGGAACTTACTTTTTCAGGTTTTTTACCTGAGGGTAAAAAAGGCCGAATTGGACTGACCTTATTTAGTTTTTCTTTACTATCTGGAATCCAGGCAGGAGCACTACCTATTAAGTTGTCACACAATGAAAACAGGTGAATCGCTGTAGTGCTAACTAATCCCACTACACAGCATCATTTTAAAAATAAATAGCTACATTAAATGTAACAAAATAAGCCTATTTGTTGGACCTACTTCAGCTGAAAAGTGGTGAATTTTAAACAATCTAATTATGTATTTAACTATAGTGGTGTGTAATATCATGGACTATAACCTGAACGCAGTAAACACTTTCAATCTGGACTGACAGTTCTAAATGCCTCTGGAGGAGATTGTCTGGCAAAAGATAAATGATAGTGTATTAAATTATTTTGCTTTTACAATAGTTACAGAAAATTTCTGTTCTGGAGAAGGAAATGTATAAACAAACAGCACAGTAGAAGGAATATGTGTGTGAGATCAGCATTATGCATTATGGTGATGGTGATTAACCAATCACAAAACACAAAGTCTAACTGGCTGGTCTGAAGGTGGCTTGATTGTTCCTCTCTTGATGGAGCACCTCTGCCATCAGATGTGGACTTCATCTCTTCTTGAACCTTTGCAGGTTGGTAGTTGAAAAGTCCGTTCGCGCTACATACCACAAACCTGGAACCTGACAAGTGAGAAACACGGTTTGCAGGCTGAGCAGTTGTAGGTCTCTTTTCTACTTGATAATGCTGATGTTCCTTGGAGATTCAGGGATCTGACTGGCCTGGAAACCAGGACTTTTCTTGTACCTACACTAGGAGCTTCTGCATCATGTTTTTCATTGTCAGACTTGTTCTTTTTTCACACTGATTGCATAACTGTAATTACGTTGCGCATTTATGTGATGTTGTTACTAATTTTAATGATTTCATGCCTACTTTTAATGTTGCCTTCTATGTTAAGTGCTTTGGGGAGAGTATGAGAGGAAGGCCACTGTTAAATTAATAAACCGGATTGTTTTGAATTTGTTGACAAAACTGGTGTAACGCTAATTTAATACAATTTAATTAACAGGCTACATTAAAGCTTTTATGTCCACCGTATACTGGGGAGATGTATAAATGCCCCTAATGTTCAGTCTTGATGTTATCCAAGCTTTTGCTTTGAATGCTGGTGTTTCAGCGGCAGAAATAATATGTGACACTATGTTAGAAAGGCATACAAAGAAAAGAAAGAGACTAGCCTTGAAAAAACAGGAAAGGGAGGGGAAGCGGGAAAGAGTGTGAACTAGCAGTTACATAGCTGTGAATAAGGATTCCATAGTCTCTCACCTGTATAAGGCACGGTGTACACTTAAAATTACAGATTTGAACATCCTTTAACATTTTTAGCCTACATACTGTAACGCTGTCCGGACCCAGCTTTAAAAACACCACAGGAACCGCGTAACGCGGTGCTCACAGAGGTGTACTTCAATATCAGTCATCCAGCAACTAGCCCGACATACATGTACAAAGCTGGCGCAGACTGACCTAATCCAGGCCAGCGTACTTATTTGCTGTATAAGCAAAGGAAAAAAATAACTAACAACATTTTCTCTAGGTGGAGGAGAGCCCCGCACTCTGTCATGTCGACTTATAAAATCCTTTTCTTTTCCGCGCCCTTTCGTGCTACTTCTCACCTGCCCTTAAAGCGACAGTAAAATAAAACAAGTACGTAGTACATCATGTACCGTTACAATACGTATATATGTTAATGTGATGATGAATGAGATTAGACTGACTCGAATCTTGATGAAATAAAAACATCCAGCCATCCATACAAAGAACGAGAGACAAGCTGTCATTTGAAGACAGTGAAACAGTGTAGATTGTTCGTCAGAACAGAGTGTAACTGGTTCTGAAATTCACAACAAGCGACACAAAGGACAAGGCAAAAGATTAGGACTACATGTATTTTGTATTTTAGATGTGTCGGGTCAATCAGGCAGGATGGTTAGAATATTTGTGTACTGCAGTTAATGTGATTATGACGATGACCTTTTATTATTCTTCATCATACTAGATATTACGGCTTCCAATAGATAACGGCAAGCAGCCGCTGTCTGTGTGTGCGAGAGAGAGAGAGAGAGAGAGAGAGAGAGAGAGAGAGATCAGCCCGTGCCAATAATGCAATTTCACTTAAGGAGGGAGAGAGATTTTCTCTTTAATATAAAAACAGTTTATTGACGGAGGACGATGGACTGACAAACTGATTCAAGGCGAACTTTCACCGGACACGCGCGAATTTGTCATTTAACGCCAAAAGGATTGTATTCGATCTATTATTAATGATACATTAATTCAGTCTGTAATAATAACAGTAATAACTGCTAATTCTTAATAACTGATAAACATTTACTGTTAGGTTTGTACACATCTACTAATCAATTAAGCACCCAGTGTTCTTCGTGAGAACTGAATCTCCAGGTAAGTTATTCCCGTATTTGAAAGGCGATTTACCGTAAAGTTTCTGAGTGTTACCTCCACTTTTTTTTTCTTTTTAGAAATTCTGGGCAATGCCAATGTTTATGTTACTTGTTACTTTAAATGTGCTGTCTAGTTAGGTTTATTTCGTGCCTGAAATTGTTTTCTTAATAGTCACACATATCCAAACGGAGTTTGTTTTTTTTTGTCTGAGTGGACCGAGCCAATATCCTTTGCAGAATATACAAACAGCATCTGATGCCTGCCATCCGGTTTGTCAGACCAGTTTATTTACAGTTTGTGTAAATAAATATTTATTTCTCTTTACGTTTTCAGTTTATGGTGCATCTCGAGATCTATTATTACAAATTTTAATACAAAGATATTTTAATGAACATGCAGGGACCGTACAGATGAAAATATAGTCTTTTATAATCCATTTCTATACTCATAGATTGCTTAATTTGTGCATATTGTCATTTTGAACGATTATTCGTTATCACGGTCATTCAAAATCCAATGAATCGGTAGAATTTTGTGCAACAGCAAAGAACATGTTCGTTCAGAAACACAGTTCACAGTAAGAAAAATGTAGTATGATGTCAGATTTTAACATCTGAGATAAAATGTGGCTTTTTATAACTATCCTATTATGTTCCAGTCTCTAAATTTTCTTTCCCGTCCTTTTTTCATTTTTTCGTTAGTTTTTTTTCTTTTTCTCTTAGCTATTAAGGATGTTCCAGAGAAATGTTTTATCCTTCTAAGTTAAAAGATATCATTGCTACTAAAGGGTGAGTGTTGCCTCTTTGTTGGGCAGCCAACAGAAGACAGAGACTGTGTTAAAGGTCACGTGAGGAACGTGTACGCATGTCAGACAACCTCGTGCCACCGAAACTAGGTTCAGACATTTAAGACACCTACACAACCAACCTCAATGCCAACTGTAATAGAAGCATATTATGTCATAGTAGACCTGTGACTCCAGCCTTGAAAGAGTAATGAAGGTAGTGTTTAATATTTTTAAATCTTACATCTTCCATCCAGCAAGAGGCTGCTTCAAATAGCTTGTGTAATTTTCCATTGGATGTTAATTAATGTGTTGTCCTTCATATGGTATGTTTATTTTCTGTCTTCTCGAACATTCTCATTCGTCTGTGAAATATCTCACAATGAATTCACAGTTTAAAGTCAGACATACACTTGGATTAAATGTTGTACCATACTCATTTGAAGTTAACTGTTAGAATTAGCAGTGCTTATTTACCTTAGCTGATCTGTCTATTCACTCTGTTTATTCACACAATTAATTTCCTTCAGTTTTTGTGTGTATTAAAGGCTATTATTTATGTAGTTCCATGAAACTGGGCCAATGGTGTCTGCTTTATATGCAGTATACAAGTTTTTTTTGGTTAGATGTGCATTTGATGTTACCAATTTAAACACCTGCCAGAATCATTTTAAACTGTTAAGCTGTTAAAACAGCAACAATTAACTGTGTGCTAAGATAAATTAATAACAAGAATCTTGATGAGCAGGTTGTCCAAAGGAACATATAAGTTTTTAGAACGATATGCGAATAAATGCCACAAGAAGAAGCTGCATAAAATCTGCTGTAGGGTAAGCACAGTGCTGGAGTTTGATCATGAAAAGTGAACTTAATTTTCAGCTTGTTTCTCGGTTTTGTGCAGTTCTTTTCTATAGTATTGGCCAGACACTAGATATACTTTCTAACCAAAAGGATGAAAACATTTTCTGTCTATAAAGATTAGGAATTGGGATTTTTTTCTAATGCTTTAAATGGATTTTCTTATTGATTTTTCTAACATATTATCCATGCATAAATCCATATTCCAACTGCTAATTCGGGTTGTTTGACTATTATTTTATCCATTAGGAACTTTAAGTTGCCTGTCGCTTTTGCTGATGTGTATATGTGTCCTGTAATGGACTAGCACTCTGTCCAGCCTGTACCACTGCATTGTTCAGCATAGGATGGACTTTAGTTTTGCTTTAAGGGGTCTTATTTTAATATATCATCAGCAGTTTCAGCTGGTGTACAGTCTGCTGCTGAATATTCACAACTAACCATCACCACACCCAGATGACTCATAAAAAAAATCCCAATAATCAGGCTTTTAACTGTTTCTGCTAGCATCCTGTTGAATGACTTCTTTCTCAGTCTGTAAAACCCTTTCTGGTTGTGTTCTTCCTGTGATCACCAATGAACGCATTTTCTGTTTCATTTGAGATACAACAGGCATGATGGTGCATTGAATAAGGGACGGGAATTTTTGGAGTTAGGAATCGTGGTCCAGCATTGTCACAATGATGCTGGGGACTGTGCTGAAAACAGACAGTGCTCTGTCACTTTACATACGTTTTATAACGCGTTTGTTCCAAAGGGTGCTTGTTACGTTTCAGGTCATCTGCAGCATAAATGCCGATTTTTATTAGCTGCCATTAAAACATTTTATAGTGCAAGCCAGGTCCTAGGATCCACAGTGACCACGCATTTAATTTTCTGCTCGGGGCCACAGGTGATCTGACAGGAAAAGTTAACAAAGGCGTCACAGATAAAAATCAGACACTTCTAAGCAGGACTTGGAAGAATCCTCAAAGCCTAAGATCCAGAGCAGTGACAATGGGAAATGGGGAGAACCCAGGACTCCTGTCTTGGGGTGACATGAACCCATTCCTCATCTGCTGTGAATAAAATATTAATATGCATACATATGAAATATATGAATATTAAATACATCTCTTAAGCAGAATACTTTCAAAACTAAAACATGACTACATGATAAAATATAGTAAGATATTGAAATCCTTGCAAAACATTTTAGTAATGGAAATGAATAGGACTTTGCAGCTTTCCAGTTCAGTCGTTCGGAGCTTGATTGGTATAGCTGACTATGACACTAATGAGGTTGCAGGGTGGCTCAGTGGTTAACACTATTGCCTCACACTTATTGTACAGGGTTTGATTCCTGGGTATATGTATGTGCAGTTTGCATGTTCTCCCTGGGCTTAAATAAATTCAGGATTTCATCCTGCTATCTTAAAAAACCTATGGCTGGGTAAACGGGTGTCTTTAATTAAATGTTCCATTGTGTGTTACAACCTTTGATGGGCTGGCATCCCATCTACAGAGCACTCTGTCTTCCTGTGGATAGGCTCACTGTGATCCTGTAATAGAAAAGTTTGGAAAATGGATGCTAGCCATGTCCGGATTATGTTATTTGTTTATTGTTTTCATTTGGAAATCCTAGAAAGAGCAGCTGATTATGGGCAAACCAATGTAGATTTTGGTTAACTGCCCAACACTAAATGTAACTGCGGATAGTTATGCCAGCATGTGGACTGCAGAGGTTCACACCTGAGGTGTCAAATGTGCCAGTAGTAGGTCTGGGACATAACAGGAAGTGATGACGTGTGTTATATTTGCCGTCGTGCTGGTTCACAGGAACACATCAGCTTGGCAAGTTCATAATTCTTGCTTTTGCAATTAAAAAAAGTCACCAAATGGCTTAAGGTTATCGACAAAATCCATGATCATTGTTGATGTAGCTGAGAATGTGTTAGAATGAATAGCTTGCACACCTGTGGAAGGACAATTTAGCATTAAAGAAGTGTGAACAAGCCTTGACTCAATTTACGCAATGGTACAAACCACATTATAAAAAGCAGCACAATCTACTGGCTAGAGGATTAATGCCAGACTAAATTCTAAAGACCTGGGACTTTCAATTGCTTGCCGTATCTCTGCTATCACTGCCATGGTGGACATGAGCATGGATCCTGCCTACCCACAATGCTCCCTTCTGTTGAAATTAACATTAGACCCACCCATGCTTAAGTCCTCGGAGAAGGTTGTCATAGAGGCACCTTCAGAATGCAAACCCTAAGCAAGAACTTTGTAAATACAGTACAGAAGTTAAGGTGGCAGGGCCAGACAGCAGTCTGAGCTGTTTGGGAATGAGTGGCTAACAGCTAAATAAATAATAAGAGCTAATAAATAATAATAATAATAATAATAATAAATAGCAGCTAATAAATAACATGACGGATTTACAATCCAGTGCACAGGCATCTCGATGTGCAGTTCAGCTATAGCTGAAACCTGTTGTCTAGGACAGTCTGTTGTCTGGTTAATAATACCTGCTCCATAAAATGGCAAAATCATAACAGTAATGGTGTCATTCCTAAAAACAAATGAAGACATGCCCCAAATAAATAGGCGTCTTCATTCCGCTTCTCCTTGGTAGGTTGTTTTGGCAAGACAAGCTGTTAGAGCCCCAGAGACGCCAGTCCAGAAGATTTTCTGGCTCTAGTTACAGCACTGGCAGCTCCAAAAGTGAGTCAAATGGATTGATTAAAAGGAATTAATTTAATCAGACTCATCAGAGCTGATTTGGAATGAAAATCGGTACTTCTCCAAAGTGCTAACTGAATGACCCTTTTAGGAGAAGGTATACAGAAGTGGAAAATGTGCAAAACTCTACAGCAGACCCAACAGTGACACTACGGGGAATTCTTATGCATTTTCATGCTGATGGTTGAGAAATGCTGGGGTGCCATGAAAATTCCCAAAAGCCCACGCTAACATTTCACTGAAAGCCAGAGGGAGCAAATTAAAATGGAGCTAGCCACACATGCACAGGGATTACAGTGGGAGCTGTCGGGAGAGTTGGACCTGAAAAGCAATGATGGTTGTATTCAGGTTATTACCAATACGATAAAATTAGGCTGCGTTGTAGAACTAAAGTATCTCTCAGTTTGTATGGTTCTGGCTGAGAAAAGGAGCTTGAAGTCAAAGACTGATGAATTCCTTGATATTTTGAACATAGATAAAAAAGGGATCGATTAAAATTCAGTCTGAAGTTTTCTTAGAAATTTTGTGGAGATAAGGCAGCAAAAAGCAGCCAATAAATGTATGTAGAACAGAACATAAATTATTAACTTTTTCCACAGTCTGTTTGCACATAATTAAGTTATAGCCGGAT